CCATTCGCTATAAGTCAAGAAGAATCTGGATTACTAACCTTTGTGGCTGGCACATTAATAAACAAAAGTTATTTTAATTATAATTTCGTAACGTGTCCCCTTAAGGGTATCCTTTAGAGAACGCAGAAACATACTCTATTGAAAACGTCAATAACTTTTATTTCAAACCTGCACTTATTAGTATCAGCCCTGGATTGAGGGTCACGTCCATACCAGGGCAAACTAAATTTAAACTTATTTTTTCACACGTTTTTCAAACTTAATTATTTTTTTACGCTTCGGAGTAGGTAGAATAAATTTAAATAAAATTAGGAGTCCCAATTTTTCATATAATTTATTGACACAAAAAATATTTCTCGAATGTACTTAATATATTTTTTTGTCCCAATAACGAAAAAATGCCAATCATTATATATTTTTAAAGTTATTAATCTCAAACGCTGACGAGATATTATTAAGTTTCTCCCCCAATTCAAAAATCGTGGAACCGGGGCTGATCATCTAATCTAAGAAGTACTGTTTGACAGTTCTGACAGATTGAAGGATGGGTTCAAAAAAGTCGATCACTACAATATCCGATTCTGAAAACATAGTGATATAAATTCTTTGGATTTACTAATCTATAATAATAATTATTCTTTATTAATCATTTTTACTTTACAGATTTATGTATGTTATTGTAAAACCCGTGTATTGGTATATCTTAGGTGTTACTAGTAAATTTTAGTATACACTAGACTTAGACACGAGCGATTTTGCCTACAAAGATTGATTTAAATTTACATTTGATAATAAAAATTAAAAGTTATTCGTTGACAATTGAATGTCAGTTGAAATTTAAGCATGATTTAATAGAAGACGCCTGGATTGAAAGATGCTCGTTACTAATAAGTTCGATTATTCGTACATTTTAAAGATTATTCATAAACAAGTGAATTTGAAGAGTCGCAACACTACAGTGAAAGGACCAACTACGTGACTTTGAAAAGAAGTCTATAACAGTCTATAACAATTTATTGTATTTACCTTTTTTGTTCCTTAGTTCAAAAGTTTAAATTTAAATTTAGTTATTAAAATAATAATAGCTTAACAATTCCATAGTTTTAGGGAAAAGTTTATTGAAATTGTGTGATTTACGCCAATACAAAGTTGTTTCAGCTTCAAAAGTATGAAACGTCAAACGGTACCTCTTAGATTAGATGGACTATAGTGTAGAATAGATAACTACAATACTATCAAAATATGTTTTCGTTATATTGTTTGTGAATACATTTTCAAGTTATGATTCGGTATTAAAATACTGGAATGTTCAAGAGGTGCATGAATACATCTCTTACATCCAAGTGTACTCTCTTCGTAGACATCAGCCTTCCCATCAGGTGATTTGGAAGTTGTTTAACCGAATTACCGAATAAAAACGAGTTACCCAAAACTCAGTTTTGGGTTAAGCTCGCCTTTGTACATATAGTTTCCTTAATCACTTATGTAATATAAATGTGTACAATAAAGAATAAATGAAAATGAAATGAAATATACGAATAGAAACATCAACATTATATCAAATTTAACATCTTCAATTGCCATATTTAATTAGCCATTTGAGATAGTTAGCACAGAATCCAAATTGTGCACATAACATAAGTACTAAGATTTACTACTTTTAAAAGTTTTAATAAGATTTAAAACTTATTAAAACTTCAGTTTGATGCTATGTGTAGGCTGTCAATTAACTTCATTTTATCTCTTACTTTCACAAATTCATAAGTTTCAATAATTTGCAATCATTTTGAGCAGATGACCTTTCCTCGTTTCGCAAGGCTGGGTCCACATTTGACGATATTTTTCTATGCTCTTAATCTCAAATGAGGTTATCTACGTGTTTCTGAATCCACTGTTCTAAGTTGCAGTAGTAAGTAGAGATTTACATGCGGCGTGATGGAATGTCACGTATTCTTATAGGCCGATAAATAGACCCAAATCACGTCACGTCTAACGGATTTTTGGATATTACGGTTATTCTGCTTTTCGATGAAATTTGGAAATTTAGAAACCGTAACTCTAGCAAAAAGTATACGCGTGCCGGGTCGCTTATACCGTTTATAAACATCACGTACCTACTTACTTGACTTCTTTTCATTTTGATTAAATGATAGTAAACATTTTCCTTGGTTTTAACCTCTTTTTAATGTTTTATGAGATCTCTGTTTAGAGGCATACTATAGTCAACAAATCAAATCCATAAATAAACACTACCTACTCAATAATGTATCTTAACCTTGTCGCCAAGCCTGTAACTTTGTCATTAGTAGTAGCTGTGCTGCCGCTCAATTCTGAGGTTCATAGAAGCCTGGCTATGTCACTTAAGTAAATAACCCTAACAAAGGCGGGACTACGAAACACCGAGTTGTACCAGTACCTATACCGCATATGTGTGACCACTGGAAACAGCGCGCGTACGGCCAGTGAAAAACACGAAGAGGCAGGTAGCCGGGTATGCTTTCGATTTCGTTTTAAATCTACATTGTAAAACAATTTGATTGAGCTGGGGTTGCATCAAATAGTTTTTAATTAATATTAAATAACAGGTTTAGTATAAATAGTAGAGATCGCTTGGTTGTCGAACTTCGTCTATAATTATTAACTTTTAAATGTTTTGTTTTATAACAATGATCACTGTAACTTAAACTTTCTATACCGTGACAGGTCAACAAATATATTAACTGGACGCTTGTAGTTTCTTTTAGATGGTACAAAGAAATCTTTTCGCTTATTAATACATTTAGACTCATACAAAGCATTAGACAATTCCAATTTATTCAGGCAGATAGAAGTTGTAAGAATTTTTTTAAAGTGATTCATTTGTCATTATTTAGTAAATTAATCTCAATTACAAAATATTAGTAAAATAGTCATGCGTTTATTGCACATGGAACTGCAACACAGTTCAGTTTAGTCCTGATTGTGTCACTTTGATACTACTTGGGTAACTAAAATATCCGTTTTTACTTACAATCTGTAATTTAATCATTTAAATGTTTTTACTTGCAATCCGTAATCAATAATTTAAATTTAAACGGGAATCTAATGTCATCAACACATTGTCGTCCCAGAGATAAAAATGCTAGTTGTTGTAGCTTGCCTAGAGAGTTGTCAAGCGCAGTAGACATAGTACTTAAAGTATCTCTGACTTGTTGTAGTAATGTCGTGGTGTGGTGAATCAAAGAATTGATCACTTCATGGTGGGGTCGACCATTTAGCTGACCATTCCGTATAAACGTCTACGTTTGATTAAGTAGGTATATTTTATTTCAGGTATGTCCATGTCATTAGTGTATCCATGATTTAACAACAATTATAAATAAAAAAGGAACTTCTATATCACCTATTCTCTTAAATTGTCGTAGCGACATTTCACTGCACTTTTTCCTTTTATTTGCACATTATTATTTCCTGATGGATCAAATAACATAAACAAAAAGGTATTAGCGCTTCTACCAGTAGCTAATCTGATATCATGAAGTAGTCGTGCATATAGTAGTAGGTAGATATTCACGCACATTTCATAAAATGATCACACCACTGGGGTATATCATTAAAATCATCAATTCTATGATTGATCGCGAAAATTGCATGTCCTAAAGTGTTATCAAAACTTTTACTTTGACACCACCCTGACCCTAAATTAGGCTATGATTAAAAATACAAGCAATTTATTACTTTTTATGGACAAAATACGCTTTATTAGAAATTTGATGGCAAGATTCAAGATTTCTAACGTAGGTAAAGCACAAGCGTCAGCGCACACGCACAGCACCGGAGATACGCGAGGCACTACCTACTGAATACTAGTTGACAAAAATGAATTCAAAAAGTAAATTCCACTCATATACCTATCTATAACATTTCCTAACAGTATCCGTTCGTTGGTAGCCAATAAGTACCTATTTAAAATTATATGTAATCATAGATACATTAATTTGCATTTTTTATTAAAATGACTGTATGTCATGGCATAGTTTCTACTCCACTTAAGCCAGTACTGTTTGTGAATACGTTTAATAATAATTAACTTAATGTCATTAGTTTGTATTTAGTTAAATACGCAAATGGCTGATTCACTCTTTAAAGCGGCTAAGTACCTACCTAATACGTATCTAATAATTTAAACCTTTGCTTGTCACATACCTACTCTTATATGATTATAAAGCAAAAATAAAGCTTTGGGATTTATTAAGTTAGAAGACTTGAACTACTTCCAATTTAAGTTATAAGTATGTGACCTTGACATTTAAAAACTATTGCTTACAAACGGCAATGCAATATCCTTTTCCTTTCACTCCTTTCTTATTTCCCCATCTTTAATTTCATAGTGTGGTTGATAGCAATTTCCTTCTGTTATAGGATCTGGGACAAATTACTTATAGTTTTCAAAATGTGATTGCTTAATCCGCCTCTGCCTAACGCTTCGGGTCTAACATCAACTGTGTACATATATGTGTTGTTTTGTGTTTGGTTTTGAGCATGTACTTACATTTTCTTTTTCCACCTTTTTAGATAAGTAACCAAAGGTACCTACTCAGATAGTAAGTAATCATTTTAAGGAAGTGTTCCTAAAAGAGATTTTATGCCTCATCCGCTAACGTCTTTAAGACATAACTACTAAAATGTCCTATTTTCTATTATTTTTATCACACTACTAGAGCTGCATGTGCTAATAGGTATGCACCGGTGACCGCATTCCACCACGCGGATCCACCCCTGTATGCCAATTTAGTTTTATAAAATATCTAGGTACACCTAATTATATAATACACCTGGACCTCTGTCACTAAATCAACACCTAAAGTCATTATCTTATCTTTTAAATTTTTATACGAATAGTAGGTAAGTGTCAATTCAAAGTGACCATTATTTAAAAATGATATAGTGTACCCTCGACTTTAAGTCGCACGAGTTATTGTGCACTTAGAGAAAATAACAGATGCTTGCTCAATAAAAAGATGGAGCGAGAATGTGCAAATTCAAAAGTTTATTTTAGCTACAATAACGACAAGGACGGCGTACTTCCCACCTCTTCGGCAAGGCATGAGTTTTGCATAGCGGCCAGTGGACACCTTACATCAAAACAAGTGAGGTCGAAGGAGAAGTGGGGGCCAAAGGCGGTGCGGGGCGCGCGGGGTCGTGGGGCGGGCTGGGGGCGTGCAGTGCAGCCTGCAGCGTGCAACCCGCCGCCCGCGCCTGACCTCCCGCCGATGAGCGATGCACTTTGTACCGACACTACATTGCATTGTCAATAACATCTAACAATATTCTAAGTAGGCATGGCATTTCATCCAAATTAAATAAACATTTTACTATTCATACTGTACACAACTATAATTGGAAGACTGATTATAAACATCTATGTTTACTTGATTCTGTTTAGGTTAATATTCACACACACACTTCTCAATGCATTACTCACAGTACCAACATCTTCCGGAATGAGATATGTAGAAGTGATTGAAAACATGTGCATACCAAACAAATACTGAATGGTTTGTTATGATACAGAGAACGCCATCTATTAGCTGGTAGCGGCACCTACGCTCATAAACTCTTTCCAAGACAAGATTGTTACTCGTACGATTATAATCCATGGTAATTTGTAAATTATAACAAAGCAGAGTGGTTTTATTCATATGTGTTATATTCATAAAATTTACACTGTACATTCATCAATTCCCGTGATTAAATTACTATTTATAAGTAAGAAGATCTTTCTTACAAGTATGAAAGGTGTAGGTATAATAATTTTATTTATCATATCATCTTATTTATCATTTTCTAATATGACGCAACTGTTTAAAAGCAATATTTATTAAAACGTGTTCCACGGTATGTTTTCAATCTATGACGCTGCACATTACGATTTGTAAATGTAACATCCGCGGATACCGTCGCCATTTACATGCAAATACATTATTACTAAAATGAACATCCTGTCGGGCTGCGATCGATTTGCATATTTTTTAATAATATCAGGAAAAAATAACAAAAGCGGCATTATTAAATGGACGACAGTCAATTGTTAGGATTTCCGGAGGGCAAGTAAATTATTCATAAAATTTAATCAGCGCAGCTATAATCTATGCGCGATGATAATTATATGTCATTATGAATACAATGAATTTATGTCCATTATTATACAGGTCATGTGATATCACCTGTTAGTTTTCGACTGAATTACGAATTAGGAATAGTTTCAACCTTGCCCTCTGTTGATGCCTTAGTATAAATTTGACGTACTAATAAGTAGGTACCTACACCGAATAAGTCAGGAAGATCCGAATTTAACCCGTTTTCAAATCCACTTGTAATTTGTGTTTCAGTATTTGATAGAGTTTACAACAATACTAGTAAAATGAAGCCTATGTACCTACCTAGTTGCAATTTCCTTTACAAACCTGTAAGTGTGGTATCCTAAAACAACTGTTTAACATACCAGTACCTATCTATATTAATTAGATAGGTACTGGTATTATTAGTAGAATAGTTGAAATATGCACAGTGCGACATAATTAGATACTACACTAAAAGTTTAAGAAAATGACAGTAACGAAATAAAGGTTAAAAGTATTACGTTCTATCCATTATAAACACCATATCTATATCATTTGTAAAAACGGTATCTAATAGTAGTTTTTAGTGGTAAATTAAGTATAACAAAGAACTGTCACTCTGCTAAATCACACACAGGTTAGAAATAATGATGGCTAAGTCAGAGGTTTGATTTCCACCCACGATAAATATTATGTTATGAGCACCATCATTTGTTGTATGAGTGTGTTTTATCTATTAGTATTTATTTAGAAATATGTGTCTCTGATTGACGGTAATATAAAAGACAAAAGTGAACGATGTTTTGAAAAGCAAACTAAATTATATAAAAATAAAGCTAGTTCTTCATTCCTTTTACAACATATGTAGGTAAAATGTGATGACCCATACCTGTATTTTGGAAGTGCAAGTCTTCACGTATAATAAGAACATAACAGCTCTGAATCACTATTTAAAAGTAAATAACAACTTGAAGTTTTTAATATTTTAGTTCAGTATACAGAGCCTCGATTGGTACTACACTCGATGGGTGGTTTGTGCTCATAAGCAATAGTTGTCAATGTAATTTATCATATTAGGCAGAGGTTTAAAGAATCTTGTTTTGTGACTTAAGTACCACTGCATATACGGCCTAGTTCAACAAAATTTAAGTTTACAACGAGAAATGACTCGTTTTGGTTTGTATTGAACAGTTTATGGTTCCGCAAAAGAATAAAATCGTGACTCAAACATGGTGATCAATTACGGGGTTTTATATGTACTCGTAAAAGATATTTCTGCAATCCATAGCATGCCTCAGTCACTCTCCTGTTCAATTCAAGGGTCCGTTCCCGTCTTCCACATCGTACTAATTTTATCATCATCATCAACAGCCATTGCTAGTCCACTGCTGGACATGGGCTAATTTTATATTTACAATTATTAAGAAAGTAACAAAACAAAAAATAACTTAAATTTGTTTAACTACCTACATATATTAATGATATGTATTTTTTTATGATACAGAGGGCAAAATAATGGACAGGTCCCTAATGTTAAGTGACTACCGCCGCAACTCGAGTCACAAGTTCGTTACATGTTTTTGAAGTGTTAAGCATACTACGCATGCCTTTAATTTTATATGTAAAACTGTAGAGACCTTTTTCTTATTCTTAGTGATTCACCGTGCGGGTGTCAGGACCATCGCGTGATAGATAGGGGCAACACATGCGACTTCGACAGCGCCTGGGACTTGCGACCCAGGTATAGGTTTAGGGAGTACTCCTTATGACTTATTCTCCTTTTGAGTCCTTGCGACGCGTCATCATCAGCGACGAGTCATAATATATGATGAGTACATGAATGTGTATTCAAAATTATATCATACTTGCTTTTGCCTACAGCTTTATCTGCGTAAAGTAATTTTTCCACCGCCCATCGATCGAAGTGGCGTGCAATGGGAGAAACCTAGGTAAGTCCAACAGTCGACTGCAATAAGACTGATGATGAATTTACCTCTTTAGATTTTTTTTAATGGAAGGAATACCGTATCCCTTGGAACGTGTATCTAGTTTTCTAAATTTCACGATGATCGGATAAACGGTAAGAAGAAAGTAATAAATGATAAAATTAAAAAAGAGAAATTAAAGGAATGAAGTAATTAAACATTTATCCATTGCTATGAATGCCATATCAACAATGTGAAAATAAAAATAGATTTAACTACATAGGTACGTGTAGACAGAAGCCTCAAAAATTCTAACGGGACTAACCTTAGGTTACTAAGTACAACACTGGTGGCAAGTGTTCCGTGTTAAGTACTTATAATCAGGCCGCTAGCGCTTTAAAGTAGTCTCTAGTAAATACATGGATAAAATACATCATTGGAGTGATGTTATTCATTGTTTGAATATTCGATTCCAAGAATACCGACTTGTGACTTGGAACAAAATATGCTTTTTGTTAGCCTTTCCTGTTGCTGATCATGGTATTGTGCCAGAGTAATCCGAAAGAAGAAAACGAAAGTAGAAAAAGAGCATATTTAAATGAAAAATCTATAATAAATAAAAACACACTTGGCTTAACATTGTTAAGAGCTGAATCCTTTGCGGGGTATCCGATTATTGTCTTCATGGTTATTTAGGTGCATTCCCTTAATGAACAGTATTAATTCGAGGTGTTTTTTTTATTTCAATTATCCAATATAATCCATCTGGATTATTTTGGATTAAATCTTGGAGATGTTGGACAAATACATTGTACACTTAAATTTGTAGCACTATCGCAAACGGTTGAGAAACTAAAATAAAGTTAATAGTACTATAAAATGTTATTTTTGTTACCAAAAATAGATCATTATTAATGAAGTATATTATTGTTGTTTTATCAAATGTTGGATATAGAATAATTAATTTGAATATTATCAACATATTATGTCCTAATTAAACATTTACTAATTAGACTTTATCAAATGTAATTATTCTTCAACTTCTACAACGATCTAAACATACTTTTATATTTATGTAATGTAACTATAACCCTGTATATAATTTGCATAACAAAAAGAAATCTAATAAATTATGTTATATTATTATAAAATAAAAATGCCACATAAAAAGAACGCCAAACTCATGTCGTACATGTAAATGACACTCAAGCGTGAAGCTTTATCTGTTCAACGATTAATTATAGACCCTGTGACCAAATTTTACATATTTTATACTATTTTTGCTCACGACAAAACTAGTGGACACCACCTTAGCATATGAAGGATAACTACAGAAAATTTAAAATTTGTCATGTTACATGATTAAGTATATAATGTACACTACTACAGATTTAACAAAATGGTATTATTAACTTTAGATAATATATAAATCGTCAATTTATTTATTTTTTAAATGCGTTCTAAGTTGTTAGTTACTTTGTAAAAGTAAACTCTGTAGTTTACTTTTACAAAGTAAGTAAGTAAGTATTTAGCTTGTAAGTATTTCGCATAAGAACATTTCTTTTTTTCATAAAAAAACACTTATTTAATAAAAATTTAACTCTTCAGAAATACAAAAAATATATATTTTACCAATAAGTTTCAAGTCTATAACCGATAGATCACATCGTAGTACCCATGTACGAGTATTATGCAAATATGAAGTCAAGTTGTTTAGAAGTTCCACCATCTGTGACAGACGTGGCAACGTTTATTTATGTAAACGTAAATATAATATTAGTGAAGTAAAAAACTGTGTTGTTTAGAATAATATTTAAGTATGTAGATGTTATCGTCAGTCGTCACCTGAACGGAAGCGAGACGGTGCCACTAACACAAAAACCACATTAGTATCCCAATTATAATTACATTGTTATTTATGCACGTTGATTTATCAAAGTTTACAAACAAGGGGGCTATCTTTAGTATCGTATTGTAAAAAAACAGATAGGCTACGGCATTAACACTTATGGTTACTATGCATGAACTAAGGGAAATAATTGATTGAACCTATCTGTCAAATTTCTTTTAGAAAAGCTGTTATTTTGTTGCTCGTAAAAATAAATTAAATATATGAAAATTACAAAAACACTTTATCCCATTATCTTGGGACATGAGTTATTATTTTATCTAGAAATCTGTTTGTTACTTTGTGTACCCGCCAAGTCGAGCACTAACAAAAACCATTCCTTTTTCCCTAATCAGAATGGTTTCGTCCGAAATCCCCTCGGA